GCCTCTGCGCATGCGCGGCCCCGCCCCGGGGACTCGCGGTAGGCTGAGCCGACCGTGACCTTGACGCTGGGTGCGCGGCAGAGACGGGGCGGACCCGGCGCGGCGGGGCGGGGGCAGGAACCGGGGAAATGTGGGGTCTGTGGGGTGCTGCGCGGCCCCCGAAAGGCAGAGGGCGGGCGGGCGGATGCTGCGCCCACCGAGGGGGACACCGGGCTGGGGAAGGCAGGTCCTTGTCCCACCGGGACACCACCGGAGCACTTGACCGTGAACTCCAGGAGGCTGCCGGGTACTTGCCTGTAAGCAGCGCGGTCGGTGAGCTGACCCCCGCCACAACCCACACACACTCTTCATACGTTCTTAACCCACATCGCTCAATCGCGGTGGGAACTCGCAGCCTTTCACTTTAATAACATTAAAGTGCTAAAAAGTGATGCTTTTATTCCAAGCGGTGTAATCACCGTCAGGACTTTTTTGTTTTGTTTAAAAAAATGTAAACACAATACCGAATTCCAGCAAACATGCACATATTTATATTACAAGCAGCACCAGTGCTGGGAACACAATAGTCTCTGCTCAGTGGCAGCCAGGTAGCAAAAGACTTGAGAATTTTTTTTTTTTCCCCTATTAATAAGCTGCAACCAGATTGAGACACATTATAAAGGTGCTGCCTTTAAAAAGCAAAAGGCTGCTAAAGGGTTGTCATCTGTTCTTGTGTACACTAGATTTACTTACAAATACATATGCTTGAGTGAGATAGAAATGGGATTCAAGTGACCACGAATGAAAAATACATTGTTCCCGAAATCTACTTTTGTTCATCAAAGCTGTTTGCAGCACTTAACCGGGCTGGCGAGGGACTCTTTGGATGAGCCATCTGTCAAAATAAGAAAAGGGTCAAATCTTAGAAAATGAACTTAGTGCTAATTATGACTGAGATAAAAATACAGTGTCATTCTTAACTGACATTCAGGAAGGAAAACAGACACAGGAAAAAAAAAGAGACACATTATTAACCCTCTGATTTTGTTCTGCAAACTGGAACTATGCAGTTAGAGATTGCAATGAGGCGCTACAAAGGCCATCAAAAAAGCAATCTTCCCCCTTAGTGCTGTCAAATAACCTGCTGGAAGACGAGCAGTGGCACTTCCCTCCTGCAGTTTCCTTACCAATAAATCAGGAATCGGTAAAACAAGCGCCCTTATTTGTGGGTACTTCGGGCTTTTGGATGATTATGGAGAGACTGTAACTTAGGTAATACATACCAATAGCACTGCACTGTAGGCAGAAAGATCAGTGTGAAATTCTGTGGATTTTAAAGTCAATTTATTGTTCCCAAGAGACACCCCGACTTGCCTGAAATTTGCGCCGTAGTGCCTGCGTCATTATCGGTGTCAACCCAGACCCACATTCAATGTTTTCTTTACTATTTAGTGGAGTGCCACCAGGACTTCTGAAAAGATTGGAAACAGGGGGAATTATGATTTGTTCTCTGTTTTTTCTAGAAAAACAAAAATGAGAGTAGAAAGGAATTTACCTTTGTATATTGACTTTCTTCAGATGTTTTCGAAGATCTAACTGATTTTTAGCAGGGGTACTGAAAGAACAAGACAAATTGTCGAAATAAAACATTCTGTACTCTATAAGCAACAGTAATTACTGTTTAGACCAGAAAAATCCAGTATCAAAGAAAGGAAGAAAGCATCTTACATTAAGGAGGTTGTAATGTGAGCTGATGGCTTGGATTTAGGTCTCAGACTAACACTCTGTAAATCTGAGATGGTAATTAATGCTCTGCATGTCTTCACTGGTGATTCTGCCTAAAGTGAGAAGAGAAATGTTACCACAAATAAACTTTAGAAGGTCTCACTGACCTTAAATCCATTTAATATTTATACTCTGAAAGTCTTCTGTGTTTTATGGCTTTTATGAATCATTAAGATTCGCATGTGCCTTGGATAAAAATAGATTTATTAAAAAAAATTAAAAAAACCACCAAACTTTTGCAAACAAGGTTCCAGCAGGGAAAAAGAAAACTAAGAATCTATTGATAACACACAGATGTAAAGCTGCACGCCCTTAATGTAAAATTAGCACTGTCCTGCGTGCCAGATGAGTCTGGAGTTAGTTACTTAATTTTTTCACTTCCAGGGGCAGAATTAGAATGATTACTTAAAGCTGATCACTGGGCTTTGGGAAGAGAGGAATTAATTTATTGAAAAAAAATTCTCTGAGGGGCTAAGAGAAGCACTGCAGGAAATACACCAGTTCCAGGGTGGTGTTTGCCTTGATACACCATCATCCATTTATCCGTGTCCCCTCCGGTTTACCTTGTCCACGCTCAGGTTGCTGTTTGTCTTCCTCAGTTTGACATTCAGAAGATCTTTGAGAGTGATCTGCATCGGCCCATCTTTTTTCAGTGACGGTGCCTGAGAACAAAGGAGGTTAGAAGGGAAATCAGGATCGGCCAGTGACTGAGCATTCACAAAGACCCACATTCCTGATGAAACCGGGTCCAAAGAACCCAGCCGTGAGAGGAAAAAAAAAAATAGAGGAAACTTCTTATTCCCTACCAGAAGTGCTTTAGAGCCGTTGCCCCGTTTGAGGAGGAGAGGTGCCGGAGGCAGTTTTGGTGGGGGCAGTGGTGGTGGTGGTGGTGGTGGAGGAGGAGGAGGAAGAGGTGGAGGGGGTGAAGACAGAGGCTGCAGCTGTATTGTGCAAGGCCCGGACACTGCTGACGGCGTCTGGATGGGAGCACCCAGAACTGGTTTATTACACTTCTGACAAAGAGAATGTTCTGAAGACGAAGCTGCAATTCCATTCATCTGCAAGCAATGTAAATAAATAAGAGAATATTAAACCCACTGGTAAAGGTAGATGGAATTTCAGAGTTCTGAATAAAGGTTCTGGCTTCAGTTGATCCAGAAAAACATAAAAAGCCTCTTCCGAGGCTCACCAGCAAGCCAGTTCCCTCTAGCTATGAAGTAACCACCGTTTAGTAATGCTGAACGTGAAGAAGAAGTGAAACATGGCCCAGTGAGGAGCTGTGGCAATACACCAGCAAGGAGAATTGTAAACACGCTGAAGTGACTTGCAGCCGGGGTGCCAAAACCCACAGATATCACACGAATTGTTGCTTAGCTCTGTGTGCTGGACGGGCAGGATGCCTGTGCTGAGACAACACAGACCTCTGAGAAACTCAGAGCCTCAAACCTCCTCGAGATTCCTGCCCAGCTGTAGGAAAGATCGAAACACAGTGGAAAAGTACACCTGTGAAAATCTTGGCTATATACAGGCAAAGAGCAGCAGGCCTGAGATCTTTTCCTCTTTTCCTGCCTAGCAAGGACCGAGCTCCGTGGTGCTGGCGTCGCCGCTTGCGTGCCTCTGCCCTGGTGCTGCTGTGGGGATCCCTTGGGTCGCCAGGTAACGGGATTAAATTTATGCTTTTCATATCATCCTTGGCTTGTGGTTGGTCCTGCCTGTGCCAGCTCACACAGAAGCTCTTAAAATTTCAGTTTATCTGCACTGACCACAGTTCCTTACATGGTTACATGAGCAAACATCACCCTGCCCCACTGGGACGGAGACTGACCTGGAGCGTTCCTTGTAGTCTGGAAAATTCAGTTTCCAACTTTTCCAGCTGCTCTCTGAACGTATTTAGCTCCCTTAAGTAGATCTGCCATGGAAATATGGTGTCTTTAACCACCTTAAAACTCTAAGCATAAAAAAAAAAAAAAAAGCCCAGATAAGCATTTTCACCACCAAGTTAAGTTTCCAGAGACAAGGCTACGATTACTCCTAAAAAGTTCTATCGCAACATCTTGTCGTAATCAACGGAATGGCACAACACAAAGATCCAGAATTTTACCAAATAATTCCGTGGCAGGAACCCAGCGAGTGACTTTCTCCAAAAACACTTTAACTTCATCTAGGAATTCTAAAGTACAATTCACATTTGACCTGAAAAGCTCATACTATTTCTGCTGTGAAAGAACGACTGCACCCTCCGTCACTGCAAATCCCCCTGATATTCCAATAAAAAGCTACAATTGCACGTATGCATTTAATGCCCACAGTTGCCTTGACACTCTCCTCATATTTATTCCCTCAACAGTAAACACTAAATATACTTTAGATGTTTCAATAGACATTATTAGATTTACAACTTAAGTTCTCAAATCTGCCTGTGGATCCCGCATCTGAGTGCTAAGAACAACCTCACGCACTGGCAAAAATAGAGAAGTAGAAAACTTACCTGTGCAACCGTGTTTTGGCACCAACAGTACAAGAACGATGCTGTTGTTGTAAAGGGTTTTACCACATTTTTTACGCTGGGCAAAGCTAATGACCAGAGCGAGGACAGATGGCTTGGGATAGCTGACGTGTTCAGAGGAAGATGACCCGCTGACCTGGGACAGAACGTTTCAGAATGAGGCCATAATTCTGTTTATCATTCCAACCTTTAAAAAAGTTAACGGTGACCAATTGTCTGGAAATTACAGGTACCAGCAACAGCAGGTGACAACAGAGTAAACATGAGCACAGAGACCAGGAAAGACCAAGATACATTTTGATACAGCGCAGGGAAAAATCACATTTGCAATATGTTTTTCTCCAAACTGCTTTTCCTGCATGTTAAAGTTAATAACAGATGGAGCGCTACAATACATACAAGATGAAACAATTTCACAGCATCCGTAACACGATGTAGAAAGGCTTCAAAACCAATACTGTTCCCTCAATTCCATGTACTGTCCGGAGCAAACAGTGGACCCAGAAACTGATTTAAAAGGAAAAGTTGCAACTGAGCTTCTCCTTACCGTGGAGAAGGACAACCTGAGCCCCGGGGCTCTACAGCATCTCCTTTTTCTTCCAGTAGAAATTTTGCTCGGGCTCTCCGTTTTCGTCTGTATTTCTTATACTTTGCCATTACTGTTAAGAAAAAAAGACAGGTTTAACGTTTAGAAATATACCCACTTTCACATGTGGACAGAGCTACCACCAAATAGGCAGGGAAGAACGTGAACCACAGCTCAGAAATTTAGTCGGAAGTTATTCGTATTGCTAGAAGCATAACATACAACTCATAAAATACCCTTTGTCAGTGCAAATCCTCCTAGCATTCCAATAAAAACCCCTCCAACTGAATGCGTTACAGCTTTTGAATTGGAATTTCGAGGGGATTAGCAGTGACAGAGGGTGCAGTCTTTCTTTCATAGCAGAAATGATTATTCTGCTCTTAAGTTGCGATGATCTGCTGGGACGCATCGGTGCGTTGGAGAGAGGAGCGAGCAACGTCAGGGGTACCGGTTTTATACGGGCTTTTGCGGAGGGATTTTCTTTACCCTGAAGTGACAAATACTGCATTTCGGGAGAATTACGTCTGGGGAGAACGCAAGCAGAAGGCCCAGGGCTGCCCTGCCCGGGGGCGCTTGCTCCAGCGTTACCCCAAGGCCCGGGCCCCTCCCTGCCCCCGCGAGGGGCCAGCCCCGCTCCTGGGGATCCCGCACCGAGGGCCGGGGGGCTCCTCACGCCCAGCCACCCCACCTGAGGCAGGGGCAGGGCAGCGGGAGTGGGCAGGGCTGCCCGAGGACACGGGGCCGCCTTGGTTTGGGATTTTTTTTCCCCCCTCGGCCGCCACTC